TAATTTTTGCCTCATAACTTTTGCACTGTCCACTTCCTGCTGTGACAAAACAAATTTCCCACGTGTGGGACTAATAAAGGTTATCTTATCTTATCTTATCTTAAACTTCCCTGCAGCATGGCTTCCTTAACTGCAGCTTGAAGTTGTGTTGGGATTAGTGGAAACCAGTGATATTTGTGAATCAGCGAAGTAATAACCAGTGCTTTCAGTTTTTTGAATTATATTTCCCGAGGCTTAAAACCTGGAGTCACTGTTAGAGATATTTAGTAGATGTTTTCATAGTGAATCTGTGCCCTGCTGTAAAGAGCTGAAGTAAGAGAAACAAGTGAGGCAAATGAAGAAGAATGCAATACCAGTATATTTAATCATTATATACGGATGTCTGATTTTGCCATATATATTACAAAATTCTCCAAATGAAATTGAATGACGCCTCATGAACAATAACAGCTGTGATGGTTGCAGCTGTGATTCTGTCACCTCTGTGCAGTATCATGTTTCATGCGATCTAAAGGCAGCACAGTACATGCACTGCGGCACAAAACCACAGAGCCTCCAACGCGCATTACTGTTTGCTTTAGCCGAGGCGCTGCGGCTGTTCTGGCTCGTCCCTGATGTTGAATGGCTCCAGCTGGCTTACAGAGCCGACATCTCAACGTTATCAGGTAAGAAAGCAGTGAGGAGGCGATATGTGACCTCTGTAAACACTTTGCTGTAGAGTTTATGATCTCAGTCAATCGTCATATTTAATAAAAATTTAATCTTGTTCATATTATGTTTCAGACGATTATGGGCTATGATTGGCTAATGACTGATGAATAAAACTTGTTCTCGATGTTTCAAAATGGGACTTAAAAACTCTTTATGTAACTTTTAATTCATTCTGTGGTTTGTGGGACACAAACAACTGAAGAAAGTTTAGTATAAAAAAAAGAAATGGGTTGTAGTAGTTATAACAACAACAACGATGCTTTGGATGTGTCAATTTTTGGTTGGATCTATTAAATCTGGCAGATTTACTAAATTTGGACTCCAAGTTAATTAAAGCTGAATGAAATTTAATTCACGGATCCATGTCATGTTCATCTTAATCAAGATAAAGTATACTTGTGTTTTTAAATGGAAATTTGGTCGCATGATAAAATTATGTTCATTCGACAGATGACTTTAATAATAATAATAATAATAATAATAATAATACATTTTATTTAAAAATGCCTTTCAAGACAACCAATGACACTTAATAATAGAATAAAACATGTAATAGAACGAAGACAAAATGAAGAACAATAGAAACAAAAGCACAAGATTAACAAACAGTGGGTAATGCAGGCAGCTGAGTTTTGAACCAGTTGAAGCTTATGGAGGTATTCTGGGGGGAGACCATGCAAGAGAGAATTACAATAGTCAAGGCGGGAGATAAAGAGACTGTGGACAAGGATGGACGTAGGCTGGGTGGAAAGAGAAGGATGTAATCTGTTAATGTTGCGTAGATGGAAGTAGGCAGAGCAGGTGAGATTATTGACGTGAGATTTAAAGGATAGTGAACTGTCTAGGATGACCAAGGCTCTTAACCTGAGGAGAAGGGAAAACTGTGCAGTTATCGATAGAGAGAGAGAGAAATGGTTCGCCTTCAAAAGGTTGGATTTGGTGCCAATAGGGAGGATTTCAGTTTTATCCTCATTAAGCTTGAGAAAATTAGAGCTGAACCAGGATTTTAGTTCAGATAGACATTCTGTAAGGGAAGAAGGTGGGAGGAATCAAATGTGTGGAGAATGGTACCAAGAGGATGTATATTATGAAGAGAAGAAGGCCTAAGACTGAGCCTTGGGGTACACCAGAGGAAAAGACGAGAGCGGGATGATTTCAGTTGAATAAACTGGGAGCGGTCAAGGAGACATAACTGGAACCAGGCTAGGGTGTGAGAGATGGTGTCGAAGACCGAGCTCAGATCCAAAAGGACGACTTTGTAAGATCACCTGCTCAGTGATTTCATTATGTTTCTAAAGAAATTAAAGAAAACTTCATTGTTGGATTATATTAGTGCTTTTTTGTGGTGATGGATTTGCAGACTGACAGAGAATAACTGACGTGGTATTACTGACATGACAGGCAACTTACTGTTACCTTAAAACATGAGCTTTATAAATAGTTAATGTCTAATCACTGGGAATAAACTGAGATCTGCTTATCAAATTGCACCTCTGAAAACTATGATTTAAGTCTTTAAATGACGTCTCTGCCTCGCTCTGATAATACCAAAATTGGCAGTGTAAATGTAAATACACTAATTTATTTTATCTCGATGAGCTCTGCAGTCGGAGGGATGATTAACATCTTTGCCCTTACAGAAAGAATATAATTTACCACATTTCCAAGATCTCAACCTGAAGCAGCTCCTTAGAATAAAGCAACAGAGCCAGAAGGAGGCAAACGGAAAAAGAAAACGTTATTATCCGAAAGCTGTGCATGTCTCTTCTCTGGCTAGCAAAGCCAATCAACATGCAGCTCTCCCCTCGGGTTGTCGTGTAAGCTGCCGATCGCACGCTGGAAGAAGCTGATTCATCAGTTTATGGAGATGGAAAAATCCCTCTGAAGGTGCAGAAAGCATTAAGGAGGAAAGAGGAGCTTTTATGAACGCAGTTCTAAATTTGTGATGTTGCACCACACGTGACCTCTAAGTAATAAAAACAGCACAACAAAACTGTTGATGTATTTCGTTATAACCATGTAAAGCACTTTGTGCTACATTTTTGTATGAAAAGTGCTTTATAAATAAAGATTGATTGATTGAGAAGTTCGGCCATCCGGGAGGGGCTCAGAGTAGAGCTGCTGCTGCTCCACATCGAAAGGAGCCAGCTGAGGTGGTTCGGGCATCTGACAAGGATGCCTCCTGAGCCCCTCCTGGGTGAGGTGTTCCAGGCATGTCCCACCGGGAGGAGACCCCGGGGCAGACCCAGGACACGCTGGAGAGATTATATCTCTCGGCTGGCCTGGGAACGCCTTGGTATTCCCCCGGATAAGCTGGAGGAGGTGGCTGGGGAGAGGGAGGTCTGGGCCTCTTTGCTTAGGCTGCTGCCCCCGCGACCCGGCCTCGGATAAAGCAGATGAAGATGGATGGATGGATGGATGGATGATTGATTGATTGATTATGTCAGCGTGTTGAAGCTGCTGGCCATGACAACGTTTTTACCACCACAGACTGATTCTTTGAAATGAAAGTAGAGCTAAATAAAGGTGTACTCACGCTTGTAATCAATATTGAGAGGACAGTATTCCATCACAGAGACTGAATGAAAACCATTATGATGCCGTGTGACGGATAACAATCAAGTGTGCAAAACCTTTGCTGTATATTTATTACGACATTAGGCAAATATACTACTCAGAAATAAAGGCCTCGTATGTAAACAGTGCATATCTTCCACATCTTGATATTTGTAAACAGGTGTGAAGGTACACAAGCCTCGAACTTTTCTTAAAGTGCCAACATGAAGAGATGCATGTGTGTTTGTGTGTCCTCACCACGGTAGTAGAAGAGGCACATGTCAGACAGGACGAACCACCTCTTCTTCCACAGCTTCATGCCTGTACTGTCCTGAATGAGTCAAAGGTCATCAGTGAGACAAAATATAACAATTATAGAGAACGTTATTATTTTCAAACACACGTTCTCATCTCTTGCTTCCTCTTCAAGTCTGAACTGGCTCTTCTCCAGCCTTTCCTGTTAAACAGCCTCCATCACCTCCTCTTTGTTATCTCTTCATAAAGCAGTGACAGATTTGCCTCAGTGGGTGCCTGAAGCAAAGACCTGGGCTCTGTTCGTGCAGACGCTGGCACCTAATTACTGCATCAATGACAAGTTTTAAGTCTTTGGTACTTTCAGCAATATAATGCGTTGGCCACACTGATATCAGCTCTGCAGTGAAAGGGTTTGCTGGGTGGAGTTGACTAAAACTTGACGAGGGTCATCAAGCCTTATTCAGTCTTCACTGCTATGGTGAGAGGTCCCCTAACCAGGCAAACACTGACCCACTACAGAGCTCCGTGGGGCACAACACTTAAAGAAAGTGATAAACACAAGCTGATTCAGGGTGGTGTGTAGCAGTGAGGCGAAGACACATAGCAGGAATACTGTACTCCCATTTACTAACTGTCCATAGTCACTGTAGTGTTTGCTGCAGCAGAGCTGAAAAATTCAACTCATTTTATTTACACAGTGCCAAATCACAACAGTTTCCTCAAGCTGCTTTATTTTATGAGGTAAAGTCCCCACAATAACAGAGAGAAAGCTGGGACAATCAAATGACCCCCAATGAACAAGTCCTTAGGCAACAGTAAGAAGGTAAAACTCCCTTATAACAGGAAACAACCTCCGGCAGAACCAGGCTCAGGGAGGGGCGGGGCCTGATCATTCTGGATTTAACAGGGAGCCAAAACAGGAGAAATCTGCTCTCTTTCTAGTCCCTGTCAGGACTCTTGCTGCAGCATTTTGGATTAGCTGAAGGCTTTTCAGGCTTTTCAGGGAGTTTTTAGGATAATAATGGATCACAGTCGTCCAGCCTGGAAGTAACAAATGCATGAACTCGTTTTTCAGCGTCACTTTGTGAAAGGATATTTGGAATCTGTGGTCAGCCTCCTTTGGCCAGCTTATTATCCCAGCAGGTTACCTGACCACAGGCAGAGCGTAGGTGCCGACTGCCAGGTTTTAATGGTTGCAGCTTTCCTAGCGGCCTCTTTGTGATCCCCATTTGCCTGTAGAATTCCTAAGTACTTCTAGTTGTTGTCAGTGTTGCCTTCTGGTAGTACAATCACCTCATTTCTGACTACCTTTGCTCTCTTTGCAACCATCCAAATACACTTCTCCGGTCTGAACGATATTCTGATGTCATTGCTGTATATCCTGGTGGTGTGGATCACTGAATCAATAGAGGCATCATATGTTATTTCAGTATGCCCTATCTCCATCCTTGGTGGGGCTGTTCTCATATACTTCCCCTGCCACTGAGTATAATCTTGGATGGTTCAATGGAGAACATCCACTTTATTCTCCTGGCTTCTGTCTCCAGGATCTTCAAGCAGCCAGCTAAGGCTGTGAGTCTTTGTTTGGCACTTTATTAGGCCACAGTTACAGACAGCTGTTGATACTTCTTAGGCAGCCCTTTCTTCATCACGCCTTTCAGCAGTTGCGACAGTTAGCTAACTACTCTGTGCTGCCTTGATCTTAGCCTCTACTCTCCTTCACCATGGACGGTACTGCTCCTTGTGGCTGCTCGTGTTTAAGCACCTCGGGCGACTGTTGTGATTTGGCGCTGTATAAATAAAGTTGAATTGAACTGTAGCCAAGGATCTCAGTCATCACTGCTGCCATGCTGTAGATCAGCTAGTTGGTTTTAGTAATGGTCACAGCAACGATTCTCCTTAATACGTACAGACCCATACATGATTACATTTTTATTACATTAGGTAAACTAAGCTGGTCCACTGACTGCTGAAATAGTCAACACAATCATGCAACATTTTGACTGGAAATCACTCAGAGACAACACAAAGTCATCTATATGGTGGCAGTCTGGACACCAGATCCAGTTCCAGAATTCCACAAATTCAACGACGTCCGATAAGCCTTCCTCATTACCTGTTTGTAAAGCCAGCTGCTCCTCACCACTGGGGCATTGGGGTTTCTCTTGATTGAGTTGGACCTCTTGCCAAAGTTGTGGACTTTTCTGGAAGACCTAGAAGGCTGTTTAAAGACGTTGATAGATGATGAATGTAGAGAATTTGGATGCCTAACATGTAACAACAGCTGCATAGCGAAAACATTAGATACATTTAAATGCACACAGTGTTTTAATAACAATTCACCAAAAAAATTAACCCCGCAGACCTGTACACAGAATTTATAAAATTACGAGCTGGTTACAGTGAAAATCGCCTTCTTGAAAAAGACTAAATTTACAGTTCAGTATTAAATATTACTATAAAATGAACTACATACAAAGTGTGTTCGAATGGCAGAGATGTCATGGCTCAGTGTCTCACTGAGTCTCACAGGCCTGAGCGTGCGCTGGAAGCAGTTTGTAATTCTTACCTTGTTTTAACAGCAGCTCACCACAAACAAGCACAAACAGACATTTTGGACTTTTGACTGTATTTCCAGAAGTTTTACAGCTTTTCCTACTGATAAAATCCTCTTTTATGGCCGTTCACACAACAGAGTGATCAGGAATAAACAATTAAATGACAGAAAAGTGTCACGCTCCCATGTCTCTCTGACTGGCCCACACTGGCTACAGGTTTGGTTTGTGTTTTTCTTTCTCTCTCTCCTCCCCATTGTCTCCTGCCTGCCTGGGCGGAGCTTGTTACTGGGCTCTCACCTTTGGCCCACTCACCTGGGCTGATTGCCACCACCTGCTGCTGATCTGTAGTGATTATGCTGCTGCTATTTAAGGTGAAATCGCTGGCTTAAACGACCCATCGTCTCTGTATATAGATCCCCCGGGCCTGTTTGCGGACCCCTAGTGACATTCCTGTGTAGTGATGGTCAAATGAAGCTTTCTGAAGCTTGTATTGAAAAACGGTTCATTACTCGAAGCTTTTCAACACAGTCCTCTCTGGTGACATCTGGTGGCCAAAAATATGAAGCGCAGCTTGAATCCACAAAATAAAACCAACTGCTTCATTATGACTGCTCACTCTACAGAGCGGTGTCCTGTCTGATATTGGGCCGCTGTTGTGTTGCTTTGAACGTGTATTTTTTGGTGGTTAAAAAAATGTGTTTTACTTGTTTAATAAATAGTTTTGACCAGTAAACTCTCCTTGTTCAAACATGCAGCATGGTGTGGTCTTTCTTTGCTTGTGACGTCTTGATGTTGGTAAATACAATAATTGAAAAACACCACATTACATATAATAATGTACAACACATTATGGAGTATGCTTCTGCTGTGAGGTCCCGCCTCCATGCACTTGTGCAATTAATCGCTAGACGGGTATATTTATAAATAATATTATATTAGGGACATTTTCCCAGACATATTTTTGACCTGGGGGTAGAATTGATTGTGAAACGGAAAAGGAAAATGCTTATGAACTTGCAAATTAAAAACATGATGCGTTTAAGGTAACCCTTTCCCATTTTTATTTAAAAAGAGAATTTGTTCTAGTGTGCAATGGCCGAACCTGTTCCTTTTCGTGGAGATAATTTCTCCTGCCTTAAGGAAAATCCCTTCACATGGCCCAGAGGAGGCTGCAGTGCAGAGAAACTGGTAGAGATGCAGGTATACAGTCTACCTGAGCCCCACCAACTATCAGCTAAAGAGAATAAATAAATTAAATTGCGGCACATTTGGTAGACTAACATTTTCAGATTAATTAAACAATAAAATATATATTTTTACAACATTACATGTAAAGAGTCAAGTGGAAGTTTTTCTAAAGTTATTTAATGATATTTATATTATGGAAGCAGATTTTTGACATTTTACCTTTTTCCCGTTGTCAGATAAAATAAACGCACAAAACAAAAGCAAACGGCCAGAACACAAAGCTGGAAAACCCACCCGACTGACCAAAATCAACTCAAAATCCTCCCATACAACAGAACCTCCGAATCAGTGGTTCGCTATCTGTCACCATGAAACACTCCACAAATCCCGCGAATGATTCACTTCCTTATTAACCATTGAATCAGACACTGAAGCAGTTAGGCTCTAAATGAAGCTTCGGACGTCACTGATCACGTGACCCTGGCCAAACGAATCAAGCTTCGACACAGTGCTTCTGAAGCACCGGAGCTTCAGCTTCAAGCGGGCCATCACTATTCCTGTGTGTGGCATCGTTAGTGGCCGAAGACGAGCGATTGTGAGTGGAGGAAAAATGGGGGTGCGTTTCCCTTTCCTCTTCTCCCTGGAGCCCTGGATCCCCACCCAACTCACTACAGATATATATGTATAGCACTCGTGTGTTCCCTTTGTAAATAAATTTGACGTTTTGTCTTTAAGAATTGTGTCTGTGTTTGAGTTCGTTCCATCACCGTGACAAAAAGTTTCTGGTTTTCAATTTCTACTATAGAAATTTCTTTTTTCTTTTATGACAAAATTGAAAAAACAAAAATAAAAGTGGACAGTCTGGTCTATCAGAGCCTTTTCTGTAATTTTTCTTACAGTTTAAGTCCAAAGAGTCATGCAGACAGATTGTTTCTTTGTCACACCAGCTGCTTCTTCATCATGTAGAAAATCAGTTAAATATGTACCTTTTGACAGAAAGGACAGAAAGGAGAGTTTCACCTCCTTTCCCACTTTGACCTTAAGTGGAGCGGCCCACTTAAGGTCAAAGTGGGCTGATGTAAAATGAGTTTGACACCCCTGATTTAACTTAACAAGAGTCTGGTTGTAAATGAGGCTCTCACACAAAAACAGCAGCCTATGTAGCTACATAAAACAACAACTCGGTGCAAAATGCACGATAAGGTCAAATAAGGTCATCCACGAGTACATCAAGAAGATGGCAAGAACTAAATGCTCACTGAATACCTCAGGCAGCAGAAACCCAAGAAAGACGAGGAACCATCATGGAAGGACAGGCCCCTGCACGGT